TGGTCCCTCTTTTTTCCTGTGTACTAGATTCTTATGGTCATTCAGATTCAATGCAAGCACTAGTTCATATAAATTTTCTTTAAAGAGCATGGCTCATGGTTATTTTGATACCAGCCTTGTCACAAGAAAAAAGCAGACAGGCAGAATGAAGTCAAAGTTCTAGATAATTTGGGAAAAATGCATCTTATTGTGTTTCATGGTGAGTTGTTCTTCAATCTAGGCAGATGAAATTTTGCGATGTTGAAGTCCTTATTTTGGCAGAATAGTAAATTTTCAGTATTACAAATCCATGTTTAAAAACAATTCATATTTTAAAGCAGAACAAGTCAAAGGTTGACTAAGTCAAAGTTTGAAATGATTGTAATAAAAGTATTAATTGCCCTCTGTACAGGGGGTTCAAGATGCCCTAGAGAGAAATAATCCAGTAAACAGATGTGAAATATCATGCCTATTTCATTTAAAAAAAACACACCTCTAATAAGTCTAAAGAAAATTAAGAAAGAATTAAATAAAATTAAAACTATCAATATTTTCCAATAAGCTTTATAAACAGAAAAATAATAGCCCCTATTATTTTATCCAGTCAAGTATTTCATCATATTAGGGTTGTCTTGCTTGATATTATCTCTTTTCTTTAAATGTTTTAAGCTTGGCAAGTAGAAAAAAATACTGTTCATGAAATTAATGCCTGGGTATCAAATAGTGTAACACTATGCTGGCTGCTATCTGAAAAGCAGTTATGTGCAGTTGATTAGGAACTAAGCTGATAGAGCTAAGAATCTCCATGGGAAACAGATCTACCACATCAAGATCAAGCTTCCACCCTTTGTTTATATTTTTAAGGATGAAGACCTCCTCCTTAGTGCTGGGTGAGGAGGGGGTTGATGATAATAGACCATAGACTTAAGAGGAGTCTATTATCAGAGGAGGGACCAGAGGAGTAATAATGATAATAGACTTCAGAGGAGAGGTTCTGTCCAGTCCTCAGTTGTGAGGATGCAGACTGCCTGCTGTGTTTTCAAGTGAGAAAATTAATAGCTCCTTGTTATGGATTCCCCCAAGGGAACACTTGCTCAGGACCCCCAGCTGTGTACAGTGTCTCCAAGTACCTCCTGAGAAGTCAGCCAGAATATAGCTTCTAGATCAGGGGCAGGCAAAATACAGCCCACAGGCCAGATCTGGCCCTCCAAACCATTTCTTTTTCTTTTTTTGATCTCCCATGAGCACTCAGCAGTTAGTTGCACCCCGTTCAGTCTGCACACTTCACTCCCATCCTCAATACGCAGGAAGGCCATGGCCCCAGCCAGCACGTGCTCTGTTGTGCAGGGCTCCCCATGGCTCGTACAGCTCCCGAGACTCATGCGGCACTCGGGGGAAGGTCCATGTGATAGAGCCAGTGGCCTTCCCCACTTCCTGCTGCCACGTGCCACTCCTGGGATTCTGCTGGAAGTGGCAGGGAGCCCCATGCCATGGGACTTCCAGTCCCAAAATGATAACTAGGGGGTGAGGCACTTGTCAAGGGGCGGGGCTACCCTTGCAGTCCTTTACAGTTCACCTAAACTCATTAAGTCTCCCTCCAGCCAAAATAATTGCCAACCCCTGTTCTAGGGTGTGGTGAGTCACTGGTTCCTTGGACTCTGTGATCCAGCATTTCAGTCCCCCTCCCCAGTTATCTGCACCCCTCTCCCAGGGAGTTACCGTGCAGTTCGGCTCTCAAGAGAGACACTTTACCTCCTCAAAGGGCAGATGTGTGTGCTTTGAAGTCCCAAGCAGTGAAAGAGTCACTCTTATTTAATCAAACAACGTTATGGGACATCAGTAGTACTTTCAACAGAGTCTGTCCCTCTATCTTTGAACCAGCCCAGCTGGTTCTTCTGCCCTCTGTCCCTTCGGGACTCCCTTTTTAGTCCATTGATTCCTTTGTTTAACCTTATCTCACTTTCATCTTTGTCCATTTTGGGAAATGGGGTGCCCCCTGAAGGGATGTTTGTCAAGATCCCACCTTTTTGTTAACATAGGCTATTCAGTTCTGTTACTTAGTGACTGTCTCCAACAGATAGGCACCTCTTGCTCTCAGCAAGGACCCAATTAACCCTTCTTTCCTCATGTACAAACTAGTCAGGGAATCTGAGGCATGCAACATTGTTACAAAATGAATGAGAAATATTTCAGCAGAATTGGTCTGTCAATTCACAATTCTGAAAGAGAGTCAGATAACTCTTATGCTTTACCAAAACAAAAGAAAATGCAAATAGAGTAAAATTTTAGTGCTTAGCACCTTTGTTAGGGCTTTTATATTTTTCAAAATGCTATGAAAATGATAATGAATATAGTCCCCCATTTTTTTTATTTTATAGTGTACTGTAATGACTAGGGAACAGATACAGAAAGAATATGATTCTCTGGTTAAAAGCTCAGAGCAGCTTCTAAGTGCACTACAGAAAAAGAAACAGCAAGAAGAAGAAGCAGAGAGGCTGCGACGTATCCAGGAGGAAATGGCAAAAGAAAGAAAAAGGCGTGAGGAGGAGGAACAATATCGAAAAAAGGAAGAAGAGGAAAGACGGCAGTGAGTTTGAATTAAATAGTTGTTTTCTGGGTCAGAAGTAAACAGAACCAGTGGTAAACAGGAATAGTGATGTAACCCCTTCCTCATTGTTCATATCAGTGCCTTGAGGTCTCAGCTTGAGGCCCCATTGTGCCATGTGCTATACAAACCATGGTCCCTTCTCCGAAGAATTACAGTCTAAAGTATGTCAGACAATGAGAGAAAAGGGAAGAATTTCTCTGGTGGGTCTTCTCACTCCTAATCTAGTATCTTATTCTTTTGGCCATGCAGCATATAAAGTTGTTGATCTGCCAGTAAAAAAGGTGCTTCAGATTCTTGTACTTCTCTTATTCCTTTGCAGTCCATTATAATTTATGCAAATATAAAAAATGTTCTCTTTATTTTTCCTTCTGTTAGGAAATATGAGATTGAGGCAAAGAGAAAACAGGAGGAGGAAGAGAGGAAAAAAAGGGAAGAGGAGGAAAAACGTATTCAGGTAATGCTTTAGTTTACTTTAATGTATGTTCCTGTTATCTTCTTGGCACCTTCTTAAGAATTGTATTGCTGTCATTGTACTACGATGTGACCATTGATGTCTGCATAATTCTTTAGTGATTCAAGTCTAGAAAAATGCCCATTCATTCAGGGTCAAAGTTAGGGGGATTTAACTAACTTTTATTTGTACAGGCTCATGTTGATGTAATGAGCATGGTGTTAACTATACCAGCTCCTTGTGCTGAGGTTAAAGAAACAATGGAGCTTTGCCTTCACTGCATCAGTGTCCTTAAACAGGACACCTTTCCCTTTATCATGCAGATGAAACAGATCATAACAGCAGCTCCCCATTCCCTTTTAAGGCAGTTAAAAAGGTATGTTTGTCCATACCCAAAATGACTAAGTAGAAAAAGACATCTAGGAAAAGCTGAGGGCTGAACCTTGAACTGTATGGAGGGGGTAGTTGACTGAGGAGGAGCTACCACCAAATTCTAAATACAAATAATAGGATTGGCAGGAGTGGAATTGAGACTAGAAAGAACTTGAGACCTTTGTTTCACTGCACATAAAGTCCAGGAAGATGCACTTGGGTCATTTTCTATCCAAGTCAAGAAAATGAGGAGAAAAGGAACATTGTCGCATTGTCAGCTGAGCTGTTAGTTGTACTGAAGAGACCATTTTTTATGGTACAACACCACGGGTTGAAATTAATGCAGGCTATTGCTGATAATAGTACTGAAAAAGTTTACTTTCTCAAGCTTTTTTTTTCCCCTCAAGCTTTTTTTACTTTTTTGGTTTTGTTTTGTTTTTTTGGAGTAAAGGGTAGTTAGGGGTAAGGGAGGGTAATTAAAGACTGAGTGATTACATTTTCCATTATTTTCCCATTAAGATAAACAGCTGAGGAAGGTACAAGAGGGTAAAGTGTTGTGTTAATATGGTGAACTCTGGACAGACAGCATGAAATGATATAGGTAATTTACACTGTGCAGTGGTAAAATATATTGGAATGTATACACACATTTCACAAAAAAATATATATATAAACCTTGTCCTTTTTTTTTTTTTACTAGAACCCATTTTAATTGGTGCTATTAATACTGGTTCTTCAAGGAGACATCCTTGAGTAACTTTACAATAGTAGGTATTAATACTTGTCACTGTTACAATGCCATATTGGTGATTATGGTGCCATTGCTACTACTTATTCATAGTACAGGGAAAAATGTTGGTAGCAGCTAAAAAATATTAACATTTGCAGTGGTGATTATATCTAAGCACCCATTCTTCAAAAAACATTGCAAACCCTAATCACTCTGGAGGTGAATTATATGCACTTTTTTGTGTTTTTTACCAGCTCCAGCATCAAACATGTTGCTATTAAGTTAATTCAGTCTTTAGGAAAGTTGCCAGATGAACAGTGATGGAAACTGGAGTCTTCTGTTTATCCACAAAACAAATCCAGGATGATTAGTGCAAACTGGTCCCATCTCTAACAGTACAGCCCTGACTTGTTTAGGATATATGTACACGTTCTGAGAGTGGTTCGTGTTATATACCTATTCAGTCCTTTGCCACTCACCAGAACTTTTAAATTCCTATTTATTATGATGGCACGTTTGGAATGCAGGTGCACACTGGACCCATACTAGACTAAGACATTGAACACACATTACCTTTGTCGTTCTATATACAACCTTTTAGTGCTACAAAAAGCTAGTGTGTGTACATTCAGGCTGTCTTTGGCTCTGTACATGTTCCAATGATCTGGAAAAATTCTCCCAGGTTTGTTTCCCTGGTAGAAAAAATTACCCAGAGACCCCTGAACAGATGTTTATAGACTGGGTGTGGGGCCTGGGGCAAATCAGCCCATGCAGGGCCCTGCCTCTGCTCTGATCCCATGGGCCCCAGACCCAAAGAAGCTGTCACCACCATTGGCGGTGGGGGGTAGCGAGCGACTGGACGCGGAGCCACTGCTCTGCCCAGCTCTGTGCAGCCGCTGCTCCACCCAGCTCCGTGGGGCCCCCCAAAGTGCAGGGCCCGGGGCAGTTGGCCTGATTTGCCCCCTCCTCCCCAGGGATGGCCCTGCCTGTGGTGATGGAAGAATGGGTTGCCATCATTATAGGAGTGGCATGAACATAGGTGGAAGGAGAAGCCAAGAGAAACACTTTACTGGGACTGGAGGATGCGGAGAGTGAGGGGTAGGAGTGCTCTAAAAGGGACTAGGGAGAGCAGTAGGTAGGAGCAGCCACCTTCCTAGCTGGCTGTCTTTGACAGCTGCTGCTCTGGCCCTTCCGGGTCTGCCAATGAGCACACGGGGTACCCACTCCTTGCACCCCTCCCCTGCTCAGTGATCAGCTGTAGTGGGACCCCGGGTGCCACCCCAGACCCAGGAGGCACCAGACACTGAGTTGGGGGGTGGGAGGATTCCCTGTGCACTCCGCGGCAGACCCATAAGTGGACTGGAAGTGCTTCTGGTTCACTTCTAGGTCCACCGCCAAGCATGCTGGGGACCCCCCCGTGCTCCCGTGGAACGCTCCACCCGCCTCACCATCTTAGTGTTCATGAGCTGCCTGGTACCTTGAGGTATGTAGAAAAAACATAAAGCTGTGTCTATGTCTGAATCGTCGAATCTCTCTGAATCCATTTGGAGGGTTCCGATTTGATTCAGAGAAATTAAAGGGTCTCCTGATTCGATTCAGATTCAGAGATTCGGATGCCAAATCTCCACTGAATTGAATCAGCGACCAAAGCTTTGCACAGCCCTACCTTCAGGTAGTTGAAGGCTGCTTATTAAATGCTCCCTCGGTCGTCTTTCCTCCAGGCAAAATAAACTCCGTTCCCTCAGCCTCTCAGTTGTCTCCCAGCCCCTCATCATTTTTGTTGCCCTCTGCTGGACTCTCTCCAATTTGTCCACATCTTTTCTGTAGTGGGGGGCCCAAAACTGGACACAGTATTCCAGATGTGGCCTCACCAGTGCCGAATAGCAGGGAAGAATCACTTCCATGGTGGCAGTGCTCCTACTAATGCAGCTCAGTATGCCATTAGCCTTGTTCGCAACAAAGGCAAACTGTTGGATTCTCTGATCCCAACGTCCTCCCCAAAGTGATGTCAGAGTTAGAACATTACATTTTTTACTCTAATGTGAATCTTCTCAGACTGCCTGATAGGGAAGAGCAGCCATTGAAAGCAAAGGACTCTTTCCCCTCTGTGCTTACTACCAGTAGGAACTAAGAAGCAGTTGTAACAGCATGGGAATGCAGGGCTCTGCTTAGTGATGACGGGATTTTTCAAGGCGTATTGCTATCATATGAACTCTTTTCTCAAACTTGCTGTGGCTGTTCAGCCAGCCCAACTCTGTTTGACCTTCTTTTGTCTTTCTGTCCTCATTCCCCTGGCACCAATAGACTCATCCTTTCATCTTTCTAGACCTTTTAATAATATTAAACAAAACCATGGAAGGAATGCGGCTTACATAACTAGGAGGTTTCATCTGTGTGTTAAGTGGAAAACAGAGCTCCGGATTAACACCTGAGTTAACACCATTGTCAATACTGCTGTTGCAATAATAAATATGGCCAGGCCATTATATCAGCAGCTAACTCTAGTTGTCAAATAGCAGCTAACCCTTTTTTAAAAGAAACTAGAATCCAAGCCTTTCTGAGAGATTATTACAAAGTATTTTAGGAGAAATTCAAGGGAAAAATTCTGTCCAGAGTTATAATTTAATCCATTTAAACTATCATTTAAGGAGGCAAGTTGGTGAATAACTGACAGAACAATTTGCTAGCTAGCTTTACAGGTTTTCTCTGTGATTTGGGTGCATTGTGTTTCTTGTGCCTAAGATTTGGAGAACTGTAATGCAGAGTCCTGTTTATACTCTTACTCTCAGCCATTCATTCCTTTATAGACCCATAACAGAATCCCAGTTCACTAAGATGTATCTTTAGTTTGTATGTAGTTAATAAGTTGGCATCTCTCTCTCTGGTGAGTTTTGCTACTGTCTAATCTAAAATAGGAATCTACAGAGGGAAGTTCTGGCATGGAGGAGGAAGAGAGTTTAGTGATTAATGGTATATGCAGCCACACTGTATGTACACATCTGTGCTGACCATCCTCCAGTGCTGTTCTGTGTTTATGTAACTGTCT